TTTATTTAACTTCTCGAGGACCGAAGTTATCGGTTCAGTGGAGCCTTCGAAATTTAGTGTGCTGACTAGAAAAAATTAATTAACAAAAAATTATACATATAGCCAATGTAGAAATTCTCTTGTGTGAAATAAAGTCATTTCCTTTCTTGGCAGGGGGGGGGTGACCTCCCTGAAATGAGTTTTTGCAGGTTGGGATGTCTGCTTTATCTTAAATGTGGCCAAGTGGGATGCTCACGTTCTTTTGGTAGCTTTTCTGGCTTTAGAAAGCATTTGAACAAGTTTCATGTAAGCAATTCATTTAATTCTGTAGAAGAAGGTGATATTTCAGCTTGTCAAAATGTTATTGACACAAGTAATGCTGATGATGTTGAAGTATCGTCTAAAAAAAAAAAAAGAAGTATCGTCTGAACATTTAGTGGCTGAGTCAGAATTATCTTCAGCAGACCTTTTAAATAGTTGTGCAGGTGTAATTTCTGCAGCAGGTGTAGGCCAAAGTGTAGTGAATTCTGTAGCGATTTCCATGGAAGAGATTGTTAAATATGTCCAGCAGTATGCTAAAGAAACTGTCATTAAACATGTATTTAGTGATGAAAGAGAAACTGAAATGTGCAAGAAAGTTGAAACATGTTTTAACGAGTTAGATAATCCTTTCACAATTCTTAATTAGGAATACAAGCAATCAAAATTTTTATCAGGCAAGTGGGAAACTGTAGAAGCAGTTGAATATGTAATTGGCTCAAGATTTGACACAAGGCAAAATAAAAAGACTGGAACATATGATCGGGTAGTAGTTCAAGATAAATTCATGTATGTTCCAATTTTATCTACATTGGAGTCAATATTTAAAACTGAGTATACTGCAGAAATGTTGAAAAGTTCAGCCACTAATGACTCAAGACTCAAGATATTTGTGATGGATCTTTATTTAAGACCTCTGTTTTCAACTGAAAAGCATACAGTCCAGATTCAAATGTTCTATGATGACTTTGAGGTTGCATATCCTCTCGGTTCCAAGAGAGGTATTCATAAATTGGGTGCAATATATTTTAGCTTAAGAAACTTCTCTCCAAAATGGAATTCTCTTTTGGCCAACATACACCTGTGTGCCTTATTTCATGCACAAGATCTTAAACAGTATGGTTTTAGTGAAATTCTTGCTCCTATGGTTCGAGACATTAAAGTGTTGGAAAGTGATGGTATAAAAATTCCACTATATGGTGGTCGTGGTCGTGGCAGTGTGGTACAGGTTACTGGTGATCATTTAGGCTTCCATAACTTGTTTGGTCTGGTGGAGTCTTTCAGGCCAAGGTACTGTTGCGGATTTTGTTTAGCAGAAAAGACGACTTTCATACAGAATTCACTGAAGATTCACCCAAAATAGTGTTGCGTACCAAAGACACTCACACTGTTCACTGTCAAGAAATGGCTTACAATCTATCTGTTCCTTATGTTTTTGGTGTTAAGAGTTCATGCTCTTTGAATTCTTTGACATATTTTCACACAACTGAAAACTTCTCAGTTGATGTGATGCATGATATTTTAGAAGGGGTGGCCCAGTATGAACTTAAGCTATTATTTGAGTATTTTAAAGAACAACATGTTACACTGGAAGAACTAAATTTGAGAATACAAAGTTTTGATTATGGATTCATGGAGAGAAGCAACAGGCCAGTAGCTGTGAATTTAGGTGCAGAATCTAATGATCTGGGACTGAATGCAGTTCAGTCATGGTGCTTATTGATAAAATCCTTCCCTGCGGCTGTGCCTCTATTAATCCTGCCATCGTGCATCAAGCACCACGTGCCTGCACTGGTCGGCCGCTGCATTGAGACATATATTTCAACCCCTGTATTAGCTTAGTCATTTCATCTTGTTTGTTTGACTCATCTGCCGGCCCCTGGAGGATGGGCTCCCCCTTTGGGTCTGGTTCCTCCCAAGGTTTCTTCCTCTTAGGGAGTTTTTCCTTGCCACCGTTGCCTTTGGCTTACTCAATGGGGGGTCCTTACGAGACAGAAATGTAAAGCGCATTGAGACAATGTAATGTTGTGATAATGCGCTATATAAATAAAATTGAATTGAATTATTGAAGAATGTTCCTCTTTTGAGAGACTTGGTAACCTCTGCTGACCCACACTGGGACCTACTTCTTTTATTACTACAGATAGTAAACATTGTTTTTTCTCCCATGTTATCTCAAGGTCTGTGTGTATACTTACAACATTTGATTGTGGATCACCACAAACTGTTCAAGAAGTTGTATCCCCTGAAAAACCTTTTACCAAAGCACCATTTTCTTATCCATTATCCTCAATGCATCCAGAAAATTGGACCTGTACTTCATAGCTTGTGCATGCGCTATGAAGGTAAGCACAATTTTTTCAAGAAACAGCTCAAGTCATTTAAGAATATCACCAAAACGCTGGCCAAAAAACACCAGAATCAAATGTCACATGTTTGGCGATCTTCAACAACTTTTCGGATCACAAAATCGGTTAGACATTGGTCCAGGGAAAATGGTGTCTTTAAAAATGGTAAAAGGAGGTTCTGAAATTACCATGGAAAAGCAAGTGCCCAGTAGTGTTAAAGTTATGAAAGTGAATTGGGCTAAACACAATGGGGTTATTTACCGCCCCCATCTGGTTATTTGTGGCAAAGTTGAATCTGAAATGCTTCTCTTTTACCAGATTGAGTCAGTTCTGATAATACATGAAAAACTGCTGCTGCTCACTTCACCTTTATGTACAGTAAGTTTTCATGAAAATTTCCATGCTTATGAAGTGACCAGTACAATGCAAGATTTTGTGGTCTTACATATTGACAACCTGCATTATCCCAGGCCATTTGACATACAAATGTCATATGGAGTGAATGATAGAGCTCTCTTTGTTGTCCCATATTGCTTTCTT